AACAGCCCCCCCCCCCCCCCCCCACAAAAAAAGATGTAGGAGAGAAGTACCCAAAACACAAATGCAGTATTTAGTGAATACTAAATAGTGGTGACCTGGATGCATAAACGAGTTTAAAATCCAAAAAGGAGAATGATTCATGCGGGGTAAATGATGTTACAGAAATTCAAATGAATAAACTAAAGGAAAATTATATTGCAGACAGCACTTTGCAATATAGGCCATGCTCTGCCCTCTGCATGTATATCATTCACAGAAATATGATAAAATATCTACACATTCATAGTAATATTTTCAGAATAGACCCATTGGCATCGGCGATTCAGTTAGTCAAACATTGTAGCATTGAATCTCAAATACATGGCATTACAAAAATGTTACACTCCAAAGCAAGCATATCCCAGATTTTTAAAAAATAATTCCTTCATGGAAATAGTCACCTTAAAACACAACTATGTGCAAAGATGCATTTTGACCATATAATTATTCCCTTCACATTTTAATTCGCCATTTAATTGGGGGGAGTGGGACGGCAGCAAATATACCCATAAAAAGCTTCCTAGCAAGTATCTTTGGCTTAATACTAACCTCTTTCACTATAAAACAATCAATTCATAGCCAGGCCAGCAACACAGAAGTCATGAATCATTTAAGAGCAGGGGTAGAATTAACACCAGCAAAGACCGCAGCTTTAGAGAAAACTTATTTCCACATAGAGGACACAAGTTTCTCATCAGGCTTTCGTCAGCACAAACTGACCCTGCCTTCCACCCCCACAGTACAGAAATGGGAAAACCTGAATAATGACTAATAATTTGAAACTTTCAGATAAAGGCACTTACAATCATTAGTTTTCTGAATAAGAGATCATAGCAGAGATGGATCAAATTTTTGCCAATGATTCTGAAGCTCACACAAAAACATAACGTAAGTAAATGTGGTCGGTCATTTGACAGGTGGAGCTGCCTTCTGATAACAATAATTCTCCCCATCTTCTCCAAACAAAATTCATAAATAAAAAAAAACCACCCAGCTCACTTTTCCCACAATATACAATCTACTGTGTTCCTATTCAACACAGCCATTGGTTCTTCCTTGGAGTCCAGTGCTTTCCAACTGCCTACATCAGGCAGAAACGGCAGGGGGTGTGTCCCTTCTGCAAAGAGTCCTAAGGGAGGGGGACTTTCGGGGCACTTCTCCTTTAGACGTTTTCTGTCCATCATTAGCTGAATCCCCAGTGGTGGTTGAAGTCAGCAGGGTTACAGTGGCTCATTACAATCTGATGTTCCTTTAAGGCCAGGCACTTTCCAGAAGGTGGGTTTAGCAAAAGGTTGTCCTGGAAATGGACATGACAAACACCAGGCACCATATTACATTATGCAATTAGTCTTTGGCTTCAACAAAACAAGCTGATGCTGTAAACCACAAATGCACCATATTTCATTATTGTTGAACCAGCTGACTGGTAGGACGCCATCACCTAGGGCAGGTGCTGTTTAAGTTATTTCCCAGCAGGCCATATGGATGTTGATTTCATTCGAATCCAGCACACGAAAGATCACTTAACTTAGAGCTGTCAGATGCTGAGAGCTGCTTACCTCTGTGAACTTCCACATCTGGCTGGGGATGACATTGGTGCCCCGGCCCTTAAGAGCACAGAGCTCGATCTTGACAGGCATGGACTCGGCGGAAGCCTCCAGACACAGCTGCTTCCCAATGTTGTGCCGCAATTCCTGGTGGGATGTATACTCAAAGTACTGGAAAGGAACCGTGACAGTGGAGAGCGGTGAAGAACTTTACAAACAAAAACAACAAATTGCATTCATTCACATAGCTGGTTATCATACAGGAATTCAGGTCTACCATCTTTCAAAATTAAATTATTTTCTGCCCATTGTGTCACCTCGTGTGTGTCAGACTGAAGCCATTTTACACCATTACTTTGAAACCACTCAAATCAGCAAAACCAAAGTACTAAACAACTGGATTTGCCATTATCCACATATAAGGCTACTGTAGCAAAGAGTACCTGGTTTCCACCCATGTTGTGGCAGGTGTACATGATCAGGGGCTTTCCTCCATTGTTGTTTTCCCCCACGTCGAGACAACTCTGTGAGCCTGAGTTCTTAATCTGTGTACACAATTATGTTGGATGAACACAGTAGCAACAGATTTTGGCTGCTATAGTTCTGTTCTCCATGCTTTACACCCAGGTGCTACCGTAAAATTCTGCAAGAGACTAAGCTTCTTACCGCTCCAAATTGGACTGGGGACAAGTCCGGGATGAAAATCTCTGGGTAGATGTTCTCCAGGTACCAAGTGAAGTTTTTGCAATGTAGACTTTCCCTCAGCTTCAAGCGATCAGAAATGTCTCCATAATTGTGCTGTGGTGGTTTTAGAGATAGTTTGAAGGTAAAAGTAGGAAAAGGCAGAACACCACAACAACCAAATATACTTATTAAGAGAAACCGACAACAGGTGAAGCTGTGCTTCACCAAATAAAGGTGTAACATTCATATCACACAAAACATCCCAGTGAAGAATGCCTCACTTAGTCTCTTCAATTACACGTGCTCCAGACAGGAAGATGATTAACATGTTTAACCATTTAGAATATCAGGCAAGTTAAATTCACTTGTTTGCAAGTATTCCTTGTTGGTTTGTGGACAAAGAATTGGTACACTCTAAGAAGGGGTAGTCTAAGGTTTGCTTCACTAAAAATTGCAGTCAGCAACCACCACTGAATCTGGTGGGATATGTTACAGTCAACATACCAGGCTAATAATTCTGATTCTGAAAAGCCAGTGGTACTTAGGACTCTTACCTCTTTGGCCATGAGTGCAGCATTCTGGTTGCGGCGATAAAACACCTTCTTGTAGTCGTCCATCCAGACTTCGGCCAGGCGTACCTGGTTGCGTGTGATTACCTCTGTGCCTTTGGGGAAGGTGTGGGGGCTCTTGGTCCGGAACACATGGCCCACTACTGAACATGGGATGATCTCCAGTTGGCCACCACACTGCCAAACCTGCTCACATGGTCACACACACGGGTAATAAGTCTCTTCACTACATCACATACATACATACATAACATACCACTACATTTATGAAAAAGTGCATATAATGGTCTGTGACAAAAGGATTTTACTGGTAATTATGAAACTAATTAATATCGTTTACTGTATCAGGAAATTTCAAATATTCAATGTCAAGTACTTGTGGTTTTCTTGGGAAACTTAGCGCTAGAATACAGAAATGAGCATAAGACCTTGCCGTGATGAAAATAGCACAATATAGATACATAATGGTAAAAGACGGTGGGGGAAAACAGAGCTTTATATGCAAGTGCATTGTAGTACGTTATCCCGTCATATGCAAAAAAAAAGCTTAGTGCATTTTTTTGTTGGATCTCCTTCTTAAGGAATTAATGTACGAAAATTTTCAGCAAGGAAGCCTGCCCTTACATAGTCAAGTAACAAACAATTGATTTGAAAAGGCAGATGACAGAGAACACTACTAACCCTGAAAGACATCTCCACATTCTCACCCCCCCATATTTCCATTTTGTCATCGTAGGTTCCAATTTTTTCAAAGTAGGACTTTGAGATTGAAAAGAGACCACCAGCAAAGGTTGGAGTCCTGGAAAGAAAAGATAATCAAAATTAAACTGTGCTGTCATGTTACTAATGATTTGTTTTAGTATTATCATGTTAAATAAAAGTAATTTTGAAATTTACATATGTAAGTTGATTACCCACTGAATAACAAACGCACTAATAATGGTCACATCTGGAATCACTAAGATTTTTTTCTTTTAAGAATTGATATATTTAACCAAGCAACCATTAAATTGATTTAGAAATATAGTTAAGACCTTATTAATGTTGCAAGTGGCTTGAAATAATTGATTTACATTTCAGCTCATCCTTAGAAATGTTTAAATGCCAACTCAAAGCTTTTCTAATGTCTTAGCACAGCTGAAACTTGTTATTCTGTTCAAAAAAGCAAGCAGATTGTCTTCCTTTGGGTTGAATGGTACTGGCACTGCTAAAGTTAAATCCTGGGTTCAAAAATGGGCAAAAAATAGCTCTCTCAAGAAACATGACAGTGTATTGTCTATCTGCAAAATGAAAGTTATTCCATGTATCAAAATGCCAAGAAACTGTAGGCTTCATAGCAAGGTGTCCACTACTGTCTTGAGAAAAGAGGGCAAACTGGATATAACCAGGAAAAAGAAGTGGAAGGTCCGGAATGCATGGAATAATGAAGCAGAAAGGTTACCATTGTATTTTATTTCATGCTATCCCTTATGATCAGTGCAGGACAACAATCTTTAGCATACTTCTACGATATGTAAGACCTATATTTGCTGAGGAAACAGGAAGCCAGAGTATTGTCTTGGACAGATCCTTCAGATCTGAATTAGAGCCGTCACGATATCAGATTTTCACTGTCCGATTATCGTGGTTAAAAGGATTCACGGTAATAATATCTTGGTGTCTATAGAAAACAAAATAATAATGCTACCAGTCAAATCCAAATTTAAATTTGTTTGTGTGTTTTGTCTCTTTTTTGGCCAGATTATACTACATCGATAGTGGAAAAAAAGCAACCAGGGCTTACTGCTAATCAACACTTCCTGCAGGCTGGGGTGTCTATAAAGCGAGATTTTTTTTGTACCATGTCAATAACATACCGAGTTCTTGGAGTGAACAGGGAGACGCGGCTCGAACTAACCGTGCACTGTTGGAACGCATGGTATGAAAACCGTGCAAGTTTGCGTTCACTAACAAGCCCATTTAAAACATTAAACAATTAAACATTAAAGTCCATTTAAAACATTAAACCGTTCACTGACAGCTGCGTGAAGACAGGTTTCTATTTCTGGTGCTAAACATGTCTCATTGGGTTGTTTTAGGTTTGTTTTGTAAAGCAGCTTCTGAGAAAATGCAGAAAATGCATACACATACATATATGTACTGTCACTGTGACTATGACAATAGTTTATACAAAGTTGCTGGATTTGGATGAACAAGAAAGGTAAGGCTATTGTATCTGGCCACTGTGGCTGTGGAGAATCTGTTGCTCACTTGACAGGGTACGTCTCGTCTTTTCGCCGCTGCTGCTCATGCTCGGGGATGCCCTCCCAGCCAAAGGTCAGGCTCCAGTCGAAGTTTCCACGGTTGTGCGCGCGGGCTGTGGCCACGGGCTTGTTAAACTGGAAGGTGTTGAGGTCAATGGTGGTGATCTCGGGGCTCACCACTGCTGTGGGCTCCTCCACAATGCGAGCCAGCAGGGGCTCCAGCCAGCCATGGAAGCACTCACCTGGGCAGGGGAAGCCAGAGCGTCGGCAACAGCTTTTCTACATTAGCTATACCTATATCAGAGCTACAAGCTATACAACAACCAAACAGGAGAGCAGTACTCTACGATTTTCATGGTCTGACGGGGAAAAATAAACACAATAAAAATTATTAAATAAATTTCATGAATACACCTGTAATTAGCACTTGTTTTGTGAAAGAACATTTAAAAAAAAAAATTGTATCCTGTTTGGTCAGAAGCCACCAACAAAATTTCACAAACAAGAAAAACAATCATCTAAATGTAAGCCTCTTATACCTGTTAGACAGATCTCTTTGTGTACATATAAACCTGACAAATCATCCCAGACACTTCTGGTCCCCCTATTCAGAAGAAGCAATATTGTGTAACTATGAGAGACTCACAATGGGCATCCAGGAAGGTGAGCACCTCTCCTTGGGCTTCCTTGGCACCCAGAAGTCTGGCTGTGATCAGACCTTTCCTCTCCAGCTGGCGCACAACGCGGACTATCTTTAGGGCACGCACATATTTGTCCAGGCGATCCTTCAGGTGTTCTGAAGAGCAGAGTGTCAGAAGAATGGCTCTTGAAGACTAGCAGTCAAATACAGAAACACAGTAAAGATTGAATACTGATCACATCGTAGGTGCGATGTATGAACACTGGGTGTGCGCAGTGTTATGTACCTGGGGTGCAAAAATAGCAGCATTTGCTGAAGAAATACATAAACACTATTTTCTAGGAACACCTGACAAAATGACTGGTATTTGGTTCCTCCTGATTAAGGTCATCTACTGACATTTTGTTCTATCAAGGTACCGTGATTGTATCAACATGTATTTTCCAACTTCCTACTTTTAGGTCACACATGCACATAAGTTCTCTCTGCTTTTCAGTAAGTTATTTCCTCTGGAATGATAAAAGTATTGTTACTCTGATGCACTGCTTACCAGTTTAAGTTTATACTATTCGAAACAGGAAGCACTGTAAATAGGAGTACAGAAAATACCTACAATATGTGGGAGGGGGAAAAAATAAAGATATATAAAAATTGTTGTTGTGGACGGGAAACGTTAGCCCAATGAACACAATTTTGACTTTGTTCGTATGTCTGAAAGTTCGTATGTTGAAAGTTCGTAAGCATCTGCATATATATTGAATGAAAACTACTTGTTCTGCCTCTGCTCTCAGTTGCCCCTTGATCTTTCATTCAAGTACACTGCGGGATACTTATTTTTCCTGAATTCAATCACAGGATACTTCAACGGATTAAGTATGTGAAAGTAGAAGTGCTACGCCCACAAAATCGTGAATAGCGTACAAACATGGAATCTGAGACATAGCTTCACAATTTAAAAAAAAACAAAAAAAAAACACCTGAAGAGCAAATGTTTTGCCCGTTATTTTATACTTCTTACATATCTTTCAAGTCCTGTACAATAGATAAATGATAAGCACATGATCTTTCATACTTGGGGTTCATTAATCTCAGGAATTATCATGCATGGCTGTTGATGTGCATTTACTGATTTAAAAGGGAAACACACACTATTACAGTAGGTGTCCGATTTAAAACTTCTGTTTTTTGACATAGTGAAATCATGATTCGTGATCAGATGCATCTCAATTTCTGCTGCAACATTCAGATGGTAGGGTCAGAATTTGGAGTAAACAACAAAAAAGCATGGATCTATCCTGCCTTGACTACTGTTAGTAGCATAATTGTGTGGGAGATGTGTTCTTGGTAGACTTTGGGCCCCTTAATACCAATAGAGCATTGTTTAATTGCCACAGCATTTAGTGTTGCTGCTGACCATGTCCATGCCTTTATGACCACAGTGTACCCAGCTTCTAATGGCTAATTCCAGCAGGATAATACTCCATGTCACAAAGTTCATATATGACTGCTTTCTTGAATATGACAATGAGTTCACTATACTCAAATAGCCTCCACAGTCACCAGATCTCAATCCAATAGAGCACCTGCTGGATGTGGTGGAATGGTCTTTTCAACTTCATACTTTCAGGTCATATATGCACATAAGGTATCTCTGTTTTCAGTAAGCAATTTCCTCTGGAATAATAAGTATTCTTACTCCTAGTTTGTTAAGTTTATACCAAGTGAAATAGGAAGCATTGTAATGCCTATGCTAAATAGGAGTATAGAATATATCTATAATATATGCAAAAAAACTGCTGAATGAAAACTACTTGTTCTGCCTCTGTTCATGAAGGTGCAGCTGACAAAGTGATGCTATCATGTCATCATGGATCTTTGAGAAATGATTCAAGCACCTACTTGAATCTACACCAGAATTAAGGCAGTTCTGGAGGCAAAAGGGGGTCCAGCCCACTACTAGCGAGCGTACCTAATGAAGTGGCCAGTGACTGTACATGGCACAAAATATGCAATTTAGGTACAAAGCAGAACACACAGAAGATGATACCTGCACAACACAGAAGTTAACAGGTCTCAAGCCCAAGTTTTTCCTGACCAAGTTCAAACTGTTTCCCGTTCAAAACATTTTCCTGACTCATGAGAAATCCAAACTTTCTCCCCATGTTCACGATCCAGCTAACTCAGGTAAACATATTTTGCAAAACTGGTTACAGCCACTTACACACAGAAAAAAAATCCAAAATACCTTGCAGAGTGTAAAGTGAATTGAACAAATATTTGTCTATAAAATCTCTCACTTAGTAACACAAGGACATGGATTATATTCAATTCATGAATGGAGCTACATTCAGGAAGTTTTTAATGTGCAGTAATGTTGCCACATGTGCAGAGTTTGCCCGCGTTGCGTGGGTTCTCCAGTCCAAAAATAGGCTGTCAAGCAAACTAGCCACAGAATGAAAGAATATACACTACTAACCTAAAGTTAGGGATATTTGGCTTTCGGGTGAAATGTATGGAAAACATAAAAAGTTCACATTACAGTGATACTATATCATGAAAGTAGGGCATTTAAGTAGAAGCATGCAATGGTGATGTCCTCATCTCAAAGATTTATTGAAACAAAAGCCAACGGTGGTGAGTATATGACAACAAAAAATGTCAATGTCTCAATAACGTGTCATGTGCCCTTGAGCACCATTACAGCTTGACAACAACGTCTCATGCTGTTCATAAGTCGGCTTATTGTCTGCTGAAGCACGGCATCCCACTCTACTTGAAAGGCGGCCCTCAGGTCATTGAGGTTCTGGGGTACAGAGTTACGAGCCTCTACACGGCGACTCAGCTGATCCCATAGGGTTTCTATGGGATTCAGGTCTGGAGAAAGTGCAGGCCACTCCAATCGAGGTACCCCAGGCTCCAGCAGCCGTTCCCTAATGATGCGACCTCGATGAGCTGGAGCATTGGCATCCATGAAGATGAAATTAGGCCTGTGTTGTTCATGCAGGGGCACAATGACTGGAATAATGATGTTATTCAGGTAGTGTGGGCTTGTCACTGTACCATTCACAAAGTGTAGGGCGGTTCTGTATTGACTAGACACACCTGCCCACACTGTAACACCACCATCACCAAAGGCTCATCTGTGGCTGATGAATTGCGCTCTCCTTGATGTCTCCAACATCGTTGGCGGCCATCATTTCTGCTCAACGTGAATCGACTTTCATCAGAGAACAGCACTGAGGCCCACTGGTCCCTCGTCCAGCTTAAATGCTCCCGGGCCCACTGAAGACGATGATGCCTGTACCTGTGGGTGTGGTCAGGTACCCTTGCAGGTCGTCTATCACACAGACCACGCTGATGTAAACGGTTGCGAATGGTCTGACGAGACACTTGGGTGCCTCTCACCTCCCGTAAATGTGCCTGGAGTTGAGTGACATTCATCATCCGTTCACAATGAAGCGCTCATCAGTATGGGATGTGGCCAAAGGACGTCCAATTCTATACCTTTCTGTGACTCTTCCAGTCTCTCTGTATCTCTATTGCGACCTGCTGATGACACTCTGTGACACTCTAAGCTCAGTGGCCACTTCTGTCTGAGAACATCCTGTTTGAAGCCTCACAATTGCGCGGTACTGTTGCTCAACTGTTAGGTATCATCTTGATCTCATGATGTCAAAATGTGAACAGTATGATGAGGAAGACTGTTTATAAACCAATTCTGATTGAACCGGGAAATTTATTGGTTGATTCATGGATCAAACACCTGTTGTGAATTTGTGCAGTTAAGCTCCTTGTTAGAAAACAGCAAGTTATGTAAAAAGTACTGAAACATTGAACAGTTGGACATGTGCATTCAAAAGTTTAGGGAAGGTCACATTAAGATCACCTGTAAAGGTTACAGTGCATTTTAGGTTCATCCTGAAATTTCACCCGAAAGCTGAATATCCCTAACTTTTTGTGAGCAGTGTATATGTGCATCCTGTGACGGACTGGCATCCTTTCCAGGGTGATCCCTTGCCTCTTGCTTTGTGGCTCCAGGCTCTCACCATGGCCCTGTACAATCGAATGACTTTATTAAAGAAGTTAAGAACCAAAGCTCAAACATACTACCTGCTGTGCTCGCGTCGTCAACCAGTATGATCTCGGTGAGCAAGGCAGCCGGAGAAGTGTGAAGCACACTGTACACAGTGCGCAATAGTGTGGACCAGGCTTCGTTGTGGAAGACTATGATCACGCTCGTGGTGGGAAGGGGGGGGCAATGGCGGAACTTTCTTTCCACGCACCTGATGGTAAAAGAGCACATTGGTCAGCATTACTGTGAATAGGGACGAATGCTTACGGTTTAGAGTCTAAGGGTACAGTTTCAAAATAAGGGCCCTGTTATACCTAAGGTGATATTTAAAATGGGTACAAATAAAAGCCTTTATTGTAAAATGCGGCAAAAGCAACTAATCCAAAAAGGATTAATTACATAGATTTACAGGTTTTTGGGTAGTGTTCAAGTGATTTATATGCAGCATTAAACAAAACAGAACAAATATCCAAACTTTTCTCTAGACAGCTCACCTGCAGACTTATGAGTCTTGATGTTATTGAGTAGTTTAAGAAAACATCACTATTCTGGTATGAGAGGCAGTACATGATTATGGTAACACTATTGTTCTTACTCTGGGGGACGAGTGTCTTCACCAAGGCTTCGGTGGAGCGAAATGCGGTCACTGGCAAACTGGTTAAAGCAGTGCCTGGTCATGCCCGCTTCTTTCTCCTTTTCCTCAGCAGCCGACAGCTTGGTTTCAGAGAATGCCTTACCGTCCGCCCCCATGGCTAGCGAGTCCTGGGGGGGCCTTTCAAGGTGAGGCCTAAGCTCTGACTGGCTGTAAAAACCAGGAGGGCAGTGGACATCAGATGTAGGCTGGAGCTCTGGCGGCAGAGGCTGCGGAGCTCCGATTTGGAACATCTGGACTGCTCCCCTAACTATACCCATGACTCGCTCTTTGCGTTGCACCAGGTCCTGGAACCAGGGGTCCGGCTGGTTCCTAAACCCAATATCACGCTGCAGCACTACCAAGGCAACCAGGAAGACTGTGCTTCCAATTAGCACCAGCTTCAGGGGGGTGATGCGGCGACGAAGGAGCAGACGCATAGCCCACGAGATGCAGGAAGCTGTAGGAGCAAAGGCAAGGGGGCGAGATCATTAATGCACTGAGAACTCAAAAGCACATGTGACCCGTGGTAGTCCGTCCCGCCCGCAATTCTTCCTGCGTTGTGTTCTGGTGCGCAAAAATGACTGGACACCGTGCTTGGTCTGAAGACTTTTACTGGCTGTAAACGTATAACATTCATGAGCTGTGCGTTCTGGCTCTCTCGCACTCCCAGCTCCCCTCCAGCCACGTAAGAAAAGCTCTGGCTGGAGCGTTTTTTTACGCGCGAACCTACGTCACCACTAGGGGCACTCCCACACGCAGACTCAAGACATACAGGTAGGACAAAGTTACTACACGTAATTAACCAAGAGAAAGACATACGTATTCAGAACAGTGAAATAAAAAATTTAAAATATTTTGGTGAAATCCAAACTACTCGACCTCACCTGTAACACACACATTTTTCAGAAAGCCTGGTTCACAGTCAGAAGTTTACAGTCTTGATATATTTTTCAGCATCTACACCCAAATTTATACCCTTCAGTCTTTCATGGAGTTCAATGAGAAATACATGCTGCAAATATTTATAATTAAAATTACTGACTATAATCAAAACCTATACATAAAATCTGTACTTTATATTTCTGCTCCCTGCATGGATTACCTTACATTTATCTACATTAAATTTCATTTGCCAGGTATCAGCCCAATCGCTAATTAAATCAAGATCCCGTTGTAGCCTCTGTGCTGCTAGATCAGTATCTGGTACACCACCCACCTTGGTGTCGTCTGCAAATGTAACCAGTTTACTGTATGTATTGGTGTGAATATCATGTATATTAGGAACAATAGTGGTCCTAAAATTGAACCCTGCGGTACCCCACTATGAACGCAGGCCCACTGTGACATTGTGCCTCTAATAACTACTCACTGCTTCCTGTCTGTTAACCAGTTTTTAATCCAAGCTGCTACAGTTCCTAAAATCCCTGCAGCTTTCATCTTAAGCAGGAGCCATTTGTCGGGGACAACATCAAAGGCCTTTTGGAAATCTAAGTAGATGACATCATAGGCCTTTGTGTGTAACCTTGGTGTACAGAAATTATACAAAATGAATTAAGCTAAAGTAGGACTTTGCACATGTCCTGTGTGCTTAAAGGAACAAGTCACATATATAAAGTTGTCCTACAAATAACGGACGTAACACAATTTACTTTAAAACCAGCTCAAATACACACAAAACCTTATTTAGGCTGCAATATTGCCATGTCCTGACCTCAAAATGTGAAAGCAGTTTATGGATAGCAGCTTTGAGTTATAAATCATACTAGAGCCCACATCAGAAAATTAAGATATACCAATCAAGCCATATTCATGCACCCATACATGTATCAAAACTAGTGTACCTTGTACAGACGTAAGACTGCAAGGAGCAGTGTGCCCCACCCCACATCGGGTATACGTTAGATTGTATTATGGAGCATTGCCAAAACAAACACGCCAATGTCGTTCCTCCACTTCTGTATCAGCCCTGAGATAAGCTGTATACCAATGGGAAAACGTCACGAGGCAGGGCAAAGGAATACAAACATGGCAGCTTCGACAATCACTTCCAAACACCTGTTCCAGCACCTTGCAGTTTTCTACCAACCCCACCCATTTGTACTTATGAACAGACACCACATCAGCCTGTGGATGTGACAGTTATTTCTTATGAAAGTAAGCTTTAAGTATATCTGTATTACATTTGTATATTTATTTTGCGATAATCAAATATATGTATAACACTTCACCCTCTCAATACCTGTGTGGCAACGCCATACAAATATTTACACTCAGTGTGAGTGCATCATGGCTGTGTGACAGAACAGGTTTTGTTTTTCATTTAAGCAAATATTCCATTCTTCTGCCATTGTGGTGTCAAAGACTGACAAATTAATTTATACTTTTCTATGGATTATTGTAAAATGCCCACAGTGGTTACAATGCTATTATTAAGGGAACTTTGCAGGTCATGCAGGCTTCACAGACAACTAAAACCCATGCAGTTAAAATAAACTCTCTCAACACATGTAAAGATCTACAGACATTTTCCCACAGGTTTGTCATTTCTCTCATACACATGATAGTTATATTGAAATTACTTCTACTGAAATGTCACAATTTAAACAAATTACAATTGTGACTAAACAGCACTCCTTTGTTGTCCTTAAATCACATATAACACATATAACTTGCAATATAAGATTAATTATTGATTAAGCCTTGAATCTATGGGTATTTAATAACATGAGTGTCTAGTTTTCTAGTTGCGCCAAAACTGTGAACCATTTCCGACAAAAAACAGGAAACAAATTTAAATAAATAAGAGGAAGTATAGGCTATATGTTGTATCATTCACAGCATCTCCACTGAATCTGACATTCAAACCATTATGTTCAAAATCCTTGATGAATTTGATCTAGACCGTTATACAATTTCTTCAAAATGTCAATTTGTAGACTATTATTTGCTTATTATCGATAGCAACTATAAACAACTAAAAATAACTACGTGCAGCACAATCCAACACACCAAGTAAAATACCACAATTAATATATGATTAGTGCCATTACTAGAAAGATTTATTTTCATTTTTGAGTTTTTATAGTTTATACCTACAGCGACACACACGTGAAAAACCGATTCATTCAAATTAGTGTAAGGTAAAGTACTGATACGGAAGCGCAGTAAGTTTTAGATGTCACCATGTCGGAACTGTAAGTAAAAGTTATCCCGGCTGTCAAAAGCTTACCTTTAACTCTTTAGTCGGAGCAGCCGCTGTTTCCAACCGATAATGCTCACGGGAAAGCGGAATTTTATATCATTAAAAGGCAAGCAGAACCCGATTTTCAGTTTCTTCAAGTGTGCAAACTAGAACTGTGAAATAAAGACACGTTGTGAAGAACGGTGGCCTCCTAGCTTCCCTTTAAGCACAACAGGTGCAACTCGTTGCAATTATTAACTCTACGATCTCCCAGATACCGCAACCGACTAGATAACACGTCATTAGCAGGTAGCTCTCTCCGGAAAACTAGTCGAATATTTCATGGGGTTTCACTTCAAGTAGACATAACTTTGACGTCATCGTTTTGTTGTAAAGCATTGAGCTATAACTGCTATACATTCAGAATGTGTGGCGGCAACACGATTGGCTTAATTAAAGCTCAGGATAATATGCAACATAGTGTAACTATTAAGTCAATGTATCAGTTATAAATACGAAAGTTAACCCTGGCTGGTGTCACTTTATAGTAACAGAGATGTATACTTGACGTCCCAGACAGCGCACTTATGTCGCCGCGACGTTGATTTAGGATGGGAATGCCGTTAAATGATCGCGTTCCATTAATTGGTAATATTTCAATAATTATATAAGCTAATGTTTGTTTAAATACGCGCGTTTTTCAATAACTTTGCTTTATTCAGCATAATTTTTAGGCCTGTTGTTACTGTTTCATGTTGTCAATATTTTAAAATAAACTTTGAAATAGTTACATTGTTTGTGTGATTAACATGACAAATCTACACGTACTATAATATATAGTACGTGTATAATATATATATATATATATATATATATATATATATAAAGAGTATTGTGGGTTATATAGCCTAATAAGGAAAATGTCGAACCGATATTTGGTGGTGATGTGTTTGCGACATTGTGCCAGTGAGCAAATGACCTCATAGAAATGGTTTGCCGATGGATTTTCAGGCACTGTGCCTATGCAATGTATGCAGGGGCGGATTAAGGTGCACAGAGGCCCCTAGGCTACAGTAGTCTGTGGGCCCCCCAACCCCGCCCCCCTCCGCGCCAATGGGGGCCCCCTTGCAGGCAGGCACACGTGGGGCCCCTAGGCTTAAGCCATATCTAGCCTGTGCGTTAATCCGCCCCTGAATGTATGCTGTCTGGATTGAGACAAATTTCCTGAACAGTCTGTGTAACTACACACAGCCTTGATTTCATCGCTAATCGCCAGTGTTAATGATTTTTTAAGGGTTAATTATAGAAAAAAAGACATTAACCCATATCCTATGTTTCGTAATATACACGGTATATTTCTGGTAGCCTAAATAAAACATAAAATTCCAGAAAAAAAAGCAAAGTAATTCTAGATTGAATATAATTTGGTTTGTTTTCTATAGAAATGCCTCTTTACTTAATTATTCATTATAACAATTGTAAGGTACAACTGCTGTACTCTTTCAATCCCCCCCAGCCATCAGATTTGTTCTGGGACCAACACAGCTGTAGGTGTCTGGGTTGTGTATCATTAGTAGTGGCGGACTAAGTAGGCCAACTTCATTTTCATACTTAAGTAAAAGTACAGATACGGTGATAAGATCAAGTAAAATACTACTCATGTTAAAGTAAAAAATACCTGTTTTTAAAAGAACTTTAGTAAAAAAGTAGGCCTATTATACATTCAAAGAAATTGATCTTACGAAAAGCAACATATCCTTTTAAATTCAGTCAAAACAGGTTTGAATATACACTATGTAGCCATTACATGTACAGGAACTTTTATGACATCACATTCTAAATCCATGGGCATCAATATGGAGCTGATCCCCTCTTTGCAGTTATAATGCTGCCACTGTTCTGGGAAGCTTTTACAAGGTCAGACACTGATGCTGGCTGTGAAGACCTGGCTTGCAATCTCTGTTCCAGTTCACCCCAAAGGTCTTTGAAGGGATTGAGGACAGGGCTCTGTGCCGCTGAGTCATGTTCTTCCACACCAAACTCACCCAACCATGTCTTTATGGGCTTTGCTTTGTGGGACCCAGTATAGTATGAGGCCCAGTCATGCTGGAACAGAAAAGGGCCGTCCTTTTCTGACAGAGAAAAGTGTGATTGGTCACTCCACAAAACACATTTCCACTGCTCCAGAGTCCAGTGGCAGCTTGCTTTACATAACTCCATTCGACACCTGGCATTGCGGCTTGGTGATTTGTATGAAGCTACTCGGCCATGGAAGCCCATTCCATGAAGCTCCTGGCAAACAGTTTTTGTGCTGCAGTTAATGCCAGAAGTTTGGAACTCTGCAGTTATTCAGTCAACAGAATATTCGTGACTTTTACATACTATGCAGCTCAGCACTCAGCGACCCGCTCTGTTACTTTACGTGGTCTGCTACTTCATGGCTGATTTTCTGCTGTTCCTAAACGTTTCCACTTTGCAATAATACCACTTACAGTTGACCGTGGACTATCTAGCAGGGAGGAAATTTTGCAAACTGACTTATAACAGTACCACAGTTGAATCTACTGCATTTCAGAATGGCCGATTCTTTCACAAATGTTTGTGAACCTGACTGTATGGGTAGCTGCTTGATTTTATGCACCTGTGGCAATGGGTCTGAATGAAGAGGTGAGGATCTAATGGCAGGGTTCCTCGGGTTAATAAATCAGTTATTGGGTATAATCATTTGATTTATTATGCAATATAAGTAGGGGTTAAAAACATGTCTATATATGATAAGCATATGCGTTATTTTACTTTGTGTAGAGAGAGCGAGAGGACACGAGCACATGAGGTTTATCCCCCCTTCTAATTGTTCCCAACAGGTATGTTTTCATTTGTGTATTAGTTTATTTTATTAACATTATTTTTTTGTATTAATTCCCATTTATGTTCAGTTCGAATAATGTGTGTGTTCTTCCACTGGCACCTTTAGCCCTTTGTTGTGCTGCACACACGAGAAGAGAGAGAGCGAGAGGCCCTCAGCACATGAGGTTTATCCCCCTTCTAATTGTTCCCAACAGTGCTCAGTAAATCCCGAGAACATACCTCCGCTATATCGCAGATTTTTCGCCGACGTATCAGTTCTCTGCGGTGTGTGTGTAATATATATACATACACATTACATATTATTATTATGTTACTCATATTCTTAGCCCAACATCCACGTATCATATGTTTTTGCAAAGTGTGTTTTAATAAGTTTACATGTGTTTAAAGCATGTGGGAGGGGTATTTTAAGGCTTAAACTAAAAAAAATGTTAATTTATATGGTCTTTCTATATTGCAGATTTTCAACTATCGCTGATGGGTCTGGAACGTAACTTCACGTGAGGGGTTGGTTCCACACAAAACGTGAAGTTTCTGGTCGCCCAAGACAGACCACACCAAGGGAGGATCATCGTGTGCCAAGCATTACTGAACTCCATGACATCTGCACTTGCCATCTGGACACAGGTATTGGACTCTCTACAACACCCCATGTCAATATGTCTCGACGACTGGCGTCAGCTGGACTACAGGTTCACCGTCTCATGTGTAGGCTGCTGTTAACACCAGCGCAGAGACGGCTGCATTTGAAGTGGTGCTGTAATCGGGAGTCATGGACTGATGACCAGTGGGGTTGAATCTTGGTTCTGCTTTAACATGGATGACCATCGTGTGCATGTATGGTGGTGCCGAGAGGAGAGGACCAATCCTGCCAATGTTGTGGAGAGACACACTGGCGTTATTCCTGGCATCATGGTGTGGGGAGCCATAGGGTATGACTTCATGGTGTGGGGAGTCATAGGGTATGACATCATGGTGAGGGGAGCCACACGGTATGACTTCATGGTGTGGGGAGTCATAGGGTATGACATCATGGTGAGGGGAGCCACAGGGTATGACTCCATGGTGTTGGGAGCCATAGGGTATGACATAATGGTGTGGGGAGCCATAGGGTATGACATAATGGTGTGGGGAGCCACAGGGTATGACTTCAGGTCATCTCTTTGGGGGACCCTGATGGCACAGCGCTATGTCATTGACATCCTGCATCCGCATGTCTCATGTTACAGTCTTTCAACAAGACAACACCCGTCCACACACGGCACATGTGTCTGTGGACTGCCTGCATCATGCTGTAGGTCCTCCCATGGCCAGCCAGGTCTTCTTATCCTTATCCACACCGAACATGTGTGGGTTCTGCTCAGATGTCAACTCAGATCCAGTGCCAGTCTGTAGGATCTCGAGGGTCAGTTAAAACAGCTGTAGGCCGACTTGCAGCAAGAGAGGATACAACGGGTGTATGACTCCCTTCTGTACCATATTTCCGCATGTACCCAGGCCTGGGGGGGTGCCACACCCTACTGACATGGGACCAGCAGTGTGCCCATACTGCCAACTCTGTTGTCTGTTTGATCTGATATTATACAGTCACATGACCTTTCACCATTTGCAGATTCATTTCATTTCCACCACTCCGTCTGGGTGCTTAACTTTTTCTGTCACTGAGTATATTTAAGTATTACAGTAGTCAAGTAATAACGAACTTTATACCATCCGTCAAACCCGCACCCTTGCCAACTGTAGAAAGTAACAGCCCATGTTATGTATTTGTCTAAATTTTCATAAAATGAAAATACAGAAATACATGAACAATATGGCCAACAAGGGGAAAACCAAAATTCAAAATGTCCAACAGCTCGGGTCTCAGTCACACACTCAGCCCATTCAGCCACACAGCAGCCTGAGGAGTTGGGGAACTCGCTAGGGACTGTGACAGATACCAAACACAGAAAGGAATGGGACAGCCAGCGACATCTGCTGGTCAAATGGGGAAACAACAGACAGCAGACACTGATCCTGGCAGCCTTTTGAAAGAATTGAACTGCTTCTGTTCTGTGCACATCCACATTAGGGAAAGTTGATGTACTGTTTTGACGGTCAGTTAATACCAGCCACAACTTAAATAATAATGGAACTCAGTCTAGGCTGGGATTTCCCTGATCTATTCTCAGTGGTACATTCCTGTTGCCAAAAATCCAAGTGTTGTCAGTACTGGAAGATGGACAGGAACAGCGTGATTTTGTACTGTAGGTCATTCAAGAGCAGGGGCCAGTTCATCACACAATTTCATCAGAATTGAAGTGATGCTAATTGTACAGCTCAAGAGGTGTAGAATCTTCAGGGGAACCTTAATAAATGTTCCCATGGTGCCTCAAGAAGCGCGGCCATGAAATCTCCAGGGGAACCTGAAAGGGAGTTCCTATCGTGCCTCAAGGGGCATGGACATGGAGTCTCCAGGGGAACCTCAAAGGGCGTTCCTATCGTGCCTCAAGGGGCGTGGACATGCAATCTCCAGGGGAACCTCAAAGGGCGTTCCTATCGTGCCTCAAGGGGCATGGACATGGAGTCTCCAGGGGAACCTCAAAGGGCGTT